TGTTTCGTGAGTGGCTTTTGCTTTACGCGGTTGCTCGAGATGTTTATTCCATTTCAGAGGAGGAGCGGTACATTCACCTCATGTATGTTCCTGGCTACTTCTATAGGCTAGTATATGCTCTGACAATACCGTTCAATTCAGATCCTCATGCTCTCCGGTATCGGTCCATCTGCCCATCTTGCCGAGCGAGGCATCCCTGTCGTCAAAGATCTACCTGTAGGCAAGAACCTAGTCGATCACCCCGTCGTCGACCTCTACTTCAAGGACAAATTCAACGTCTCGCACAAGTATTTCAAGCCAGCCAGCTTCAGTGACGCAAAAAAACTCTTCTCGGCGTTCTATCAATACTTCTGGTTGGGCACTGGTGGGCCTTTGGCTACGAATGTACGTTCCTACTTGTTGAAATATTGGTGGAAATCATTGAATGGGGGAACCTATCACCATAGTTCGGAGAATCAGCAGCATTCATTCGCTCAGATGATCCTGCCCTGTTCCCGCCTAGTGAATACCCGGAAGTTCTCCCAGATAGTACTTCAGCGAAGGAAAGCCCGGATTTGGAACTGTTTAGCACACCGATGGCTTACAAGGTTAGCATTACCCTTCCGAGTTCTCGAAATCTAGATACCGGCGGCTTATATCCGTTCGTAGGATCATGGCGCGACCTTCTTCGACGTACATACTTATGCACTTCACGTGTACTTGCTGCGGTGCGTCATCCACCTTCCTGGCCTGAGTTTTCGAATACTGATTTCGAATCTGTATTTGCTGCATATAGGCCTACGAGTCATGGCGCTGTTCTACTAAAGTCGGCCAATCCATGGGAGCAGCCTAGTGTCAACCCGAAGTAGGCTGGTTCTTCCCCTGCCTTTTCACTCATTCACCCCTCTATTCTTGCAGCTATATCCAGACACCCGAAGACCTAGCTAAGCTCGTTCGTGGTGTGCGTATTCTGCTCAAGATCGCACGCACGCCTCCTCTCGCTGGGCTCCTCGATGAAACGTTCACTCGCGCCGATCTGGACCACGAACTGCACTTGAAGACCGACGATGAGCTCAAGGATCTAGTGCGGGAACGTGTGGAGACCGTGTACCACCCTACCACGACATGCCGGATGGCACCGCTGGAACAGGGGGGCGTGGTTGACAGTAAACTGCGGGTGTACGGTGTAAAGGGGCTGAGGGTGTGCGATGCCTCGATTTTCCCGTGGATTATTTCTGGACATACGGTGCGTTCGAATTATATACCCTCCTATGGTCTGTTTTTAATTTTGAGTCGTAGGCTGGAGCATGCTATGCGATTGCTGAGAAGCTAGCAGATGATATAAAGGCTGAGGTTCGTAGATTGTGATGGGTCGAGAATATGTTTATACGTGTAAATTATACAGCCTTGGCTGAAAATGTGCGTTTTATTGGATTTCGCTTACTAGATCATTATAGGAGGACTGAGATTACTGACTCGATACACAAGAATGCGACAGACGTTGGGCGTGAGACAAGGGATTTTCTATTTATATCGCATGTGATCTGTGAAAGGGTGACTGTGCGAAAGTGGGGTGCCGTTGTTGAATAAGGGCTAAAAATAGCATATGAACCGTCCGGTTGAACGGCCGTTGTTGGATGGACACTGCCATCGGTCACCTTGCCCGTCGTCTGCCTGAACGCTCTGCCTGCCACTCAACCTCCACCTGCCATCTGCCGCCAGTAACTGTTTCAGGCGCCGTGCTCTTCGCCTTACACTCCTTCCTTCTCCATCGCCCTCGCCCTCGCCCTCGCCCTCGCCCTCCTCTTCTTCATTCCACTTACTTCTCAGTTCAGCTAATTCTCAACGATCATGTCACGGCCCTACACCGACAACCCATTCAACCCCTCAAGCACCGCCGATTTACAGGATTATTACGATAGTGTCCCGGTCAGTTAATTTTCCAATAACAAACCCACTTCCATTAGTTCTTTCGGCCCAATAATCGTTATTTATAAAACACGGTCTGACGTACCCGATGATGATCATTTGTTTAGCCCGCACACCGTCTTTCCGGGGCTTCGCAGTCCTCCTATCCATTAAGTGGACAGGCGCAAAATCCTGGGCATCAAGGCATCCCTCTCGTGGCACCTACCTCTTACAACCCAATGGCTTCCTCTGGATACACACACCAGCCGCTGGCGACACATTCGACGCAGGACTTGCATGCACCGGAAACGAGGCAGTATGGTGACAATGGCTTTGGGCGTTCAACGGGATACACTCCTAGTCCATGGTTAGAGTCAGAACAGAGGAAAAGCAAGAGGTCGAGGTGGATAGTATGTTTTCTATTATTTCTCATTATCGCTGTCATTCATGTTTCACAGTTCGTTGCTGCCATAGTAGGCCTCATACTCATCATTATCATCGCCGTTGTTGTGGGTGTGGTTGTCTCACATAACAAGAAAGGCTCTGGATCGTCGTCGTCGTCCCCATCCTCATCCTCGGGAGGGTCAAAGGGCAACACCTCAACGAACCTAGGCGACCCCAGTAACTTCGCCAAAGACTCAAATCTCCATAGGTCGTTCTACGGTCTCGCATACACACCTGAGGGATCGCAACTGCCGGATTGCGGCAACACACTTGGTAAGTTGAAACAAATTCTTCTCAAGTGGAGCCGAATACTGATGAGAAGCAGAGAATGTAATTCAGGATATCCAGGTTATATTTTTTTTTCGTGATATTTTTAGACAGGATTTACTGATCGTCGTTCTTTTCGTAGGTCATGTCCCAGCTTACTAACGTAAGTCCCTCTGTACAGACTTGTAGAATTATCTAATTGGCCTTATTGACCAGCGCATTCGTCTCTACGGCGCCGATTGTAACCAGTCTGCGCTTGTTCTCGAGGCTATCAAGCAAACCAAAGTCGACATGACCGTCTGGCTCGGAAATTTCATTGTTGCTACCGACAACAATGCTGCTTACCTCAGGCAACGCGACGTGATCAAAGATGCCATTCAGACGTATGGTACTGATCATATAGGTGGTATCACTGTTGGGAATGAGTATATGCTCAAGTGCGTTCTTGTGTTTCTTAATACGTGAAAGTATACCAATCGGGTTTTGCTTTAGCTATCTCACTGATAATGGTGGAGCAAGCACCCCCCCAGACAGCTCTGTCGGCAACACCGGTGCACAATTGCTCATTTCCGATATCAAAGACACTCGCGACATGCTCGCTGGCATGAGCTTGAGCAAGACTCTACCAGTCGGAACTGCTGATGCAGGGAGTTACTTCAACACACAGGTATTGGAGGCTGTGGATTATGGGGTATGTATCCTCTCTGCAGTAGAAGTGTACGAAATGTTGATGGCTGGCATTTTAGATGGCCAACGTCCACCCATGGTTTGCAAATGTCAGCGCTTCAGACGCAGCTGGCTGGACGGCGAATTTCTTCAGCGAAACGAACGTTGCACCTGCCAAAGCCCTTTCCAATAACCCGCAGATGTATATCGCTGAGACTGGATGGCCAACTGTAAGCACACTCGTCCCTATTCTAGCCATGGATACAAATCTGACTGTGGTATAGAAATCATCAGATGCGGGTAATGCCAACAATGGGGCTTCAACGGCATCAGAAGCTAATCTCCAAGTGCGTATTATCATCTACTCCATCATCACATCTACCGTATACTAATATGTACGTTAACTGTAGACGTTCATTGACACCTTTGTGTGTCAGGCGAATACTAATGGAACTGGGTATTTCTTCTTCGAGGTGCGTATTGTTCTATAGCTATATGGTAATATGTGGTAGCAATCTGAATCTTACCTTTGCATCTACAGTTCTTTGATGAGGAATGGAAGGTATATCGTAACCTCCCCGTGATTGTCTAGCCTTGCTGACCAGGTTCTTCTCTAGGATAAACAATTCGGTGGTGTTGAGGGCTGGTGGGGTCTGTTCAACGCAGAGTATGTTATCCCTACGGCATTCATTTTTTCCTGTTCGCTGACATTCGTTTACTCTAGTCGTTCACTCAAGAACATCAAGATACCCGACTGTGCTGCTCCTTAAACCTGCTCTTACATCCACTACCTTCAATTTCCGCTCCCCATCCCCCCTTCCATCCCCTTCGTCACTCTCATCCCCCATTCCTACTCCCCTCATATCTTGCTCGCAGCTCTATCCTCCAACCCACTCACACTCCACACTCTGAAAATGGACATTGGCGACTACTATCATTATATTCCCACTCGTTTACTTACGACTACGTACACGACACGGACTGATTTCGCACTTACCAACGGACACTTCTAGTATTTTAAGTATTACCTACTTTACGGACCTCTTCTCTCCATCTCTTCCTAGTATCCGCTACGTGGATAAATTCAAGTTCAACTTTACCTTCTTAGTGGCACGTTTCCATAAATCGTACTGTCGTGGTCTGGTGAATTTGGATAAGTACATAGGAGACTTTAAGTCTGAAGCTTATTAAATAAAAACTCTGGATATTTAAACTGGAATAAGTCCTCCTGCCTTAAGGCTGGCTGCCTTCATTCGGCTTCATAGGCGTTCATCCAAGGCTTGACAACACGAACTACAAAACCTTGTCGGAAAGCCGGGCCAGGTGTGTGCTATTATAGTTACATTCCTCCGAATCCACTTACCTCTTGCCTTGAATGTACGCCACACAGTCTAATTACACAGAGGTTAAACGTATGAAGACAGCAACGGACATCTATTTGTGTTAAATCTATTTATGAAGTTCATTGCTCGAAATACATTGTTACTACGTTAAATGTTGTAAACTCGACACTGACGGAAATCACCACCCCCTGGTGAGTTGCTCTTTTAAAATATAGTATTTAAGATACTTATCGGTGAGGAAATGTACATTGATTTTATTTACGAAAATTAAATTTACATATTAGCTTCTCATTAAAAATAAACGTATTCTTTCAAATTATAATAACTCGAAGTAAATCCCGATCATCTTATGAGGATGTATCGAAAAGTAATAGGTTCAGCCACAAAAAATAATGCATTGACCGGGAGTCGAACCCGGAGCTAGGCCAATTGCATCACCAATCACAACCTGAGTGGGAAGACCCAATGTTACCGCTACACCATCAATGCTTGTAGATGACTGCAGCACAACGTTAATGTCGTAACTCCTATGTACTTTCTCCCTTATCTTATGCCTTCAGCCTATAGTCTGAAGCCAATATTGAGGGAAACGGAGGAGGCAGAAGAAGGGAGGTATTTTCAGAACCAGGACTAGATGCTAAAATACGGAATGATAATATATGTAAGAAATAAAATTAGACAGCGACAAGGCCAGCTGTCGCGTTAGGTTACATGACAGTGTATATGTGTGGTAAATATCTTCCAGCCGAGGGAATTTTGTTGTAAATCGAGTGTGCGCAGTGAAGAGTAGAATATAAAATATGAATTGATAGTCTACTACAGGCCTCTAAAGAGGCCTTATATACTAAGTAACTAATTAACTAGAATATACTACGAGTATCTACAAAGTGTCTCGGGCTGAGTAAGCGATGTGTCAGGCTTACTAATTCCAACAAATTTTCGTGATGTTGAGACGGGTTGAGAGAAGATCTGTTGGGGGAGAGTTATGTGTACAGTCGTCACCCTCATAACCCATACCCCTTCGGTCAATGGCCGGAACTATGGGTTATGAGGGGTTATGGGCTATGAGAGTTATACTAAAAATAGACACAAAATTTTTAGTAAAACCATTCCACAAATAGATAGTGTAATGACGCCTAGTATCATCAGTGTGGACTCAAACACTATCTATCAAGACCTAAGGTGTCCTTGCTAGAGCATGTCCATGAATTCTTAATGTTTTGGCTATAGCAGGTCACCAACACTACTTTTTTGACAACCGAAATAATTGACCCATAATTTTACTTTCACTTATTCCTCTTACAAAAACAGTTCTGAGATGAAAGGAACAAATTGGTTAGAGCGTTTAAGAAAATACCTTAGACCGACGGAGTTATTAAAAAAGTACGTGTGAAATTAGCCATTCCCTGCCAAATGTCAAAGTATTTGCCTATTTGATAAGCTCCTGATCCAAGCAAACTGCAAAAATCAATTAACCCATGCTTCCTTCTACGAAAAAAAAAGCAAATCTTATAATTTTCAGTTTTTTCTCACTCTTAAGGCGATTTCGCTACTATCAGAAAGCCGCGGTGGCTACCCGGCCCGCTCTATACCTATGGGTTATTTCGCTAAAATAGCTATGGGTTATGGGTTATGGGAGGGTTATGGAAAATCTCCGCTAACCAAGTTGGTTTTGCCAAAAATCTATGGGTTATGGGAGGTTATGGGTTATGAGAGGTATGGGTTAAGAGGGTGACGACTGTATTTCCAAGTTGCACTTTTACGAATCGAACAAGACCCAACTTCGTCACACTGGCGACTACCATGAGAAGATAAATAGTGGACCTCTGGGGTGTTTAGCCTTTGTTGCGTGCCAGAGGCGTCATAAATACTATGTACTAAACGATTACTAGGTACACTACCATCTTCTCTCGATTCGCATGTAACTACTGTATACAATTTAAACGTGTTCCTATAACATTTCTGGCCTCAACGGACAGACAAGTTACCAGTTATGTGCACTCAGACGCACCTTAAATCTCATTTTATGGTTATCAGCGAGTTCGTTTGAGCTCGATGAAGTATCAGCTTTTAAATTGCGCAAGTAGTAATGCATGTAATACAAATGGTAGTTAATTCTTCCTAGTAGTGTCTCCATCCCCAAAATACACCATTAAAATAATGAAGGTCGAAGTGTATAAATATAAGCGCGCTAAAATCGGTGTCCCTCTACAATAGTGCCGACAAGACCACCCGCGACGCCTAAAAGTGTGATGATTGAAAATGCTATGATGCTGAATGCGTTCGTGATCTAAACGAAACAACACGTTAAGGATAAGCAGCAAAAAATATGACAAAAGAAAGTACCATGATGTGTATGCCAAGAAATAATCAGTCGCGAGTATCTCAAGCGACGACACAGTAGCCATTTTGACCCGACCCGCTGTTCTCCTGGTCCGCAGGTACTGAGATTTCCTCAACTTCGGTGGATGCGGAGAAGAAGAAGATGATGGTGGAGAAAGAGTCCATTTCTAGTGAGGATGAGTGGTTATGAGGTAGAGGACGCGGGTAAAAGAGAGGGCGTTGAGATGAGGTGTTAATGGAGGCTTAATGAACTTAGCACAATTATGCATGTACTTATAAAAGTTTCGAACGAAGTCCAACGAAGATGGTTAGCTCCAAAGAAGGATAAGTTTATGCATGCAGCTACGTTCCGGATTGGTTCCAATTGTTGTATCGGAAGCAAGGCAAGGAGCCGGCGTTATGAAATTGTAAGTAGAAGACAATAAGCAGGGCGACGGGCTGCAAAGAGCAAAGTATTATCGGTAAAATTCCCGGGCCTGTAACAATAAGAGCCGCCGGATATGGTATCCGATGATACATCGACCCATGAGCAGCGGCGTCGTTGATCACGACCATAGTGAAAGAACAAAAAGCCTCGCCCAAAGAAGAATGACCGTGGGAATGACGAACTGTTCCCGTGCCCAGCGACCGACAGAATCCGACGTGCAAAGTTCACGATACCCATGAACCTACCGCGAATGAATGAGACGCTTCAAAATAGAACACTGGCCATCGAGATAACATGCAACGAGGCAACCTGGGGCACAAATGCGCACTGAGGACTGGTGGATGGATCCGAGAGCCGAATGAATGAGTATCCGATTGGCCAATATATCATTTGGAAAGAGTTCGAAAGCTCCCTGGACGTATTGCTAGACATTGATAGTTTCCGGTGACCTCCATGGACTGTGGTGTATGAACCGGGTTCCGTGAAAGGACAAAAGCCTTCAGATTTCCGAAAGCGGTCTAGCATTGGGAGACTTGAGAGGGTATGTTAATGTTGCTGCAGTGTTCTTCCCGACATATTGGCAATATTGGACCATAAAACGCGAGTGGGTGAGGCTTTATGAGCGTCCAGCAGACGTTTGAGGGAATCAAGAGGAGAATAATAGCGATTTGAGGCACTCAGGTACTTGTATGTCGAGGGACAAAGGGAGTTCCCTTCTGGGATATTTTCGTCATATCGTTACCTCGTCACAATATCGTCACAGAAAGAGCAACGATCACGTGATTAGGCGCGTTGCGATTTGAACCATGTCCTAATTTGGACACTTCAACTTTGCTCTGTTCCTCCTCCTCACCTCACGACGAGTCAACAACCCCCACCATGTTCAAGAATATCCTGCCGTCGAAGAGGGTTCCCTCTACAGAATTTTCCATGATTACAAGTCTGGCAGACACAACCAACTTCAAGGAGAACCACCCCAGCACAGGAACAGTGCAGCCATTAGTGACCAGCAAGAGTAAGCCGGTTACGATGTCGAAGGGATTTGCCCCAGTAGACGGGAAGAAGAAGAAGGGTGATAACAAAAAGGCCAAGGAGAAACCCATCGAATCTGTTGGAATGGAGCAAGCATTCGACAGGCTCTTAGTGAGTGATTTCAACGAACAACACAAGTTGTCGGCCGACTGATATTACTATAGGACGATCTACAAATTCCATCTACGTTACGGCCCAAACTCATCGGAATGGACTCAACAGTAAAAGCTGCTATGCTCAAGTCGTCTCAGACGATGGTAGTCAGCCCTGACCCAACGCCATCCCCACCAATCACACCGCGTGCTAAAGCACTTCGAAGAGCACACAGCACAGAGTCTTTGAACTCGCCTCGTCATGCAGCCTTAACCTCAGAGTTTGACCTACTTGAGCCTCCTAATACCGCCTGTTTCTCCGGTCAAGTATCGGCTCATCATTCACCGTACATGGCTGGTTCACCACGGAAACCCAGTGGCCATACTCGCGGCCTCTCTTTCGATGCGCCTCGTCTCTTTTCTCGTAGCCAAGTTAACCTAGATATCACCAATTCCACTCTCGATCTTTCTGGAGGTAAAATTGGCAAGGAGAAGGGCATATCCAGCAAGAACATTTCACCTACGAAATTCTTTAGTATCTTGTCGAGTACTTCGACTACGCAACTAGATGTCGAGGAAGTCAAGAAACTGAGACTGCTACTACGAAATGAGTCTGCTAGGTATGACCTATTCTACTTAGCGTTGTTGCCCTTCTAACCGTTTCTCAAGTTGGTCGCAAGAATTCCTAAAGCTAGGAGGATATTCGGCATTGCTTACAAGGCTGAACGAGATTCTAGAGATTGAATGGAGGTTAGCCTCGCCTGTCTCCTATCCAAATCGGTGTCTAACCCATCGTCTCTGTTCGTAGAGAGGAACAACACGACGATCAAATCCTCCACGAACTTCTCAGGTGCTTCAAAGCCTTATCAACCTCTTCAATTGGCTGCTTCGCACTGCGTAGTTCCTGTCCCACCCCCTTCGTCCAACTCGTGGCCCTGCTTTACTCCGACAAGAAACCAGGAGATGTAGCCACTCGGCAGCTCATCGTCGACCTCCTACTCATTCTCTTCGAACTCTACCCGCCTTCCTCCCTCCCTTCTGCCGGCGGAAATCACATCTCTGGTCGTAGCAGACCGCATCGTGAAGCATGGGACAGCGACGTGTCCCTTCCTTCTTCTAACCTGGTCACACTTCCTTCACCTCATAAAAACTTCTTCTCCTTGATCCGTGCCTTATTACTCACACCCGCTCCCCCTCCTTCTGAATCGCCAGCTGCTCCTATTTCTCCCCATGCTTTCATTGAATCGCTGCATCGCCCTAGGATATACAAAACGTACTTACAGGAACTATCGGATGTCTGCCGTGACTACTTTTGGGTCTTCTGCCATCCTAACAACACCATCTGGGTACTCTCAGAGACGGATGAAGGGCGAGTCGAGAAACCGAGGGCACCAGGTGGTATGACAGGCGGCGTAGAGTTCGAAGCTATGGGCTACTTTGTACGATCTCACCCACCCCTCTTTGGTATATAACTAACCGTTTTGAACTACTAGACCACTCATTTGAGGCTTCTCAATGCCATTGCTCAATCTGTCGCTGACCTCGACCTACCTAAAGACCACGATCATTCTGCGTATCGTTTCCATTCGGATCTT